CTGCCATTAACATGCTAATATCTCACATTAACATAGCCGCCTCCGCTCCCTCATTGTGGAGGCCACTGTCCGGTCACATTAACATAACTAGCCCTGCCCACTTCGTTTATGACCCTTGGGCTACACCCATTTCAAACCTTTTAAAACAGTCTGCATCAGCAGCTTTCCCCCTCTCTCCTCCACCTGATCACGATTGCTTGTGTTGTGATCAAAAAACATTATTTTTCTTTCAACCGATCTTCGTGACTTTTCCGAAAGACCCAATAATATTAATTCCTGCAGTCACGAAAGCTTTAAGTCAAGATTTCTGCCAAATAGTCACTATGAAAACCTTTTGCTCCTGGGCTGCACCGCCATATAACAGCACATTCTATCATCAAGCTAACGTTTAATACCATAATGTTGGAAAATATTCCTTCACGGTGGTGGTCAATCCAAACATTATAACTTTTCAAGCAAAGGCTTGTGAGTAAGTAACCTCTACGATGCCCGTCTCCTTTGTGTTCGGGACGCTGCTAAAGCAGCAGGGGGTGCGCCTTTTGCTTTTGTTGTTTCAAGGGAGGAGTTCACAGGCCTCAGTTACTGGGTGTTTTTTTAGAACACGCTAAATCCATATATATGTAAAAAGATAACTATTACGTGAAAAGTAGGCGATATCACTCTTCATATAATTTCTTGAAAATGGCATATACAACACCCTAATGATGGTGATAGGTGTGGCACTAGAAGTTACTTCTTCATGGAGTTGAACAGTTATTTGTGATCGGGTATTACTGAGGCAGACTCCATCTCCTCAGCAACCCGTGACCAACACCCATCTTTGCAGCGCTGTATGGTTCTCCAAATCTATGAGAGAAGGCTGTGGTAAGCCTCCTCATTCTCTCAGGCAGCCTGAACACCTCCTCTGTCCGCCAGGGTCTCTGGGGAGATTTGGACAGTGCAGCCAAAGCAGCCATTGCAGCTGCATGAGCCACAGTCCAATAACTCGCCCATTTCCCCTCGGCATCAGGAATGGTGGAAGGTCCAAACCCCAGCTACAAGTGATCATGAAATTCTCACTTGCAACTTTCATGAGATAGCTGAGACCAGGCCGCTGTTTGTTCGAATAGGTTCCTGGATGTACACCCACTACCGGAGTGGAAGAATGGCATGCGCATCTTAGAAATGATAAGCCGATGGTCAGTGGGCAGATCAGCCTCACTTTAGGGCCTGGTGTCAAGGAAATGGGCGCGTATCCACTTTTCCATCATTATGTAGTCCAGCAGATGTTCTTAATTGGACCCGGTATGCATCCATGATGCTGTGTGGATGCACCGATGCTGGAACAGCGTGTTGGTAATTACAAGCCCATGGGCTGCACAAAAATATAGCAGCCTCCAACCGTTGTTTTTTTAGCTGATCTGTCTGATGACTTCCAATCACTCCAGACCAGGTGCCAGCATCATGACCCACTCGAGACTCAAAGCCACCTAACAAGAAGACTATATCTCAAGTGGTCACTTTAGCTAGCACCTCTAACAGGAGGTCTGTAAAGGCATCTGATTCATCGGCCTTGCCTGCATCCCTCCACTGATGTTCATCTTTGGTGGGGGCATAAATAACCACGACCACCATACCTTGCCTTTGATTGAAGGGAAGGAGAGCTCACAGTGGCCTGGGGCTTCCAGTTTCCCACACCTCACCTCTATGCTCCCATACCCCCTACATTCTTTTGTTCAGAAGAAAATGCACTCCCTGTTGTTTGGCAGTCTTCTGCCCCGAGTAGAGGACTGTCCACCCCTCATAGTGGCTGGAGCCAGTCCACCGGACCTCCTGAATGCCGCAGAGATCCAGGTGGTACCAGTCCAGCTCCCAACAGAGGAGTGGCAGCCTTACCTCCACAGTGAGCGTTTGAACATTCCGCGTGGCCACTCGCAATGGCTTCTTGCTGTTTCTGGAGGAACCCCAATGGTAATGATTCAGACCTCTGGCTCCACCAAATTGGGTTTGGCCAGGAGTTGTCATAGATACTTTTCCCCCCGGGACCTCCGGAACAAGATTAGTTAGATTTTTTTCATGTATTTTAGTGGTATATGTATTGTATCATCCCCTCACACCCGTCCAAAACCCTGGTTTTGGACCTATGGTGGCTGCAACCACCATTAACGGGTATCGGCAATCTTGGAATTGTCCTTTCCTGGATGGCATTGCTCACATCCACCACAGCGTTACCATCTGGCACCAGTGAGGAGATAGGTGGTGGTTTTTGCTGGAAACATGAACATGCACACACATGTACACACACAGGAACAAAGAAACATACAGATACATACACATGCACATATCATATAGATACACACAACACATGAACATGCACACAACAACACCAACCGCCATTCGCCACTAAGTGACGGTGATGTCACCACGACGCTTGTGCCAGGCTATGTGCACCTTGAGGCCACGTGAAGTGTCGAACGCCTGCTGGCAGGAGGTCACGGGGCAGACCCAGCAGGTGCCACGGGTTGACTGACTGAGACGACTGGCTGATGCCCCCTACTATGCCAACTTGCTGTGATTTAGCCACCCGGTGCTCCGCTCGATATTGTGAGCATCGGTCCTCCACCCTCCGTTGTTGCAAGAGGGTGATTGTCTCCACTGCCCAGTAGCGTCCTTCACAAGCCTCCTCCACAGAGGCCGATCTTGACACCGCTGGTACCAGTCATCGGCAAGTCCACTCAGCTCCGCGTCCTCCTGTACCACATCACTCCATCTTTTCTCTAGACCATGCCACGCCTGTTTAGCCCCCACAATCCAGCCTGATTCAACCCAGGATGGATCGTAAGCAGGCCAGCCTAAATATTTATCACCGGCGAAGATGTTCCATTAGGGGTGTTCACGTTTCGCAAGCATGGAATAGGGAGGGAATGACTGTGGCCGAGAAGACCTGAAGCTTTGTGCGGAGCGACAGACCAGGTAGCTTCCACACAGCGTTATGCAACCGATTAAAATATATTGCCGCTCGACTGATTCGGAGCGAGACCTCTGCTGCTAAACAAGAGCCGGTCATGAGCACACTCGCCAGGTATGGGAAACTTTCCACTCTCTCCACAACTACCCCATCACCGATTGGGAGTTGTGGCCGTGGAGTGTCCGATGGTACAAAATACCCAGGCAGTTGCTTAGTATTGGTGGGGCTGATTGTAAGGCCCCACCTCTTAGCGGCAAGCTCCAGATTTAGCAGCAGTGTCTCCAACTCCTCCTCTGAATGAGCAGCAATTACCAAATCATTGGCATACATAACGTGGTTGACCAATAGGGAGCCATCCCTTGACCGCACCCGGGCATCGATCAGCCTCCCATTGCATCTTTACCAAGTTTAAATTTCTCCGGTACAGCTATTGAAGGCTTCATGAACTGCGTGTTCAAAATAGATGTTGAATAATGTGGGAGTGAGAGGACATCCTTGTCGCACCCATGACTATGTAGTCGACCTCGACGGTGAATTTGCATATCCTGGGCTTCTGGTGCGTTGCCTCGTCACCCAGGAGTGGAGGCGTGCGTCAGGGTTGTTGTGAACGTTCCTCGCGGTGGTCTCTATCTGTTTAAGTCGATGCGGTGTTCCGTCATTGGTGACACGCGGGGTCGTTGGGTGAAGTCGGTGAACTGCAGGGTTTTGTACTCGCGTGCTATTACAGTCGCTGAGAGTTTTAAGAGTTGGTTGTACTTGGTTGTCAATGAAGTATTATCCGCCACAGTTTGTTCACGTCCTTGTGCATAACGAACCAAGGCATAGTCAATACATTCCAAATCTTGTTAAAATGATCAGAATTCCAGATCAAGCTATTGTCCTTCTTTCTGTTGCCGTGGAATAACAAAAAAAATGAGGAATTGCACGGGAGAGAAAATGGATCCGAACTCCTCTCTCTCCCTTGTTAGAAATGAGCAACCCTCACAGCTATCAGCTGGAATTGAAATATTTCCTCCTTCACTGCCGATGCCGGATGGGAAAATTGTTGAGGTTTCAGGACTTTTTCAGTTTGTGCAAGCTGCTATGCCTCTCTGCGTTGTTTAACCGATTCATATATCGCCCAGACACCCTGGCTGACAAGGAGAAAGGTGGCTGAGAAAAGTGCCGGGCCTATTTTTCCTTGGTGAGAAAATTTCACGTCCGAAAATTAGCAGTCATTACCACTGCATTGGGCAAGCCGAGCACATTTGCAGATTTTTGCTGGGTATTTTTCCGAGATATTGCCCAAAAGCTTTGTTTAATACGGGGGGGGGGGGGGGGTGGGGGGGGGGGTGCATGCACGTGCATGTGAGTGAATGTGTTCCCAATCTGTCTTCCCAGATGCGCTGATGGAAACAAAAACGATTCACTCAGGGTACAGGAAAAAGCCGCTGAACACGGCGTCTCTGTGCACGTTGAAGAACAAATTAATGTGCGGAGCCTCCAACTCCAGCCAAACCTCGTCTCCGGCCTTGAGACTCAGCACGACGCTGCCGCTTATTGCGTCGTATTTTTCACCGCACACCTTAGAGATGACCTTCCCGTTTTTCATGATCATAACCACGAGATAATGTTCTTTGGAATGCGCGGACAGCGTGAAATAGTAGACGCCTGGGTGGGCACAGGTGAACTTCCCCGTGCTGGCATTGTAGTGGCCCTGCGGGTTGGTGATGATGACGTTGAACGTCACGGGGGAGCCGGCCGCCGGCGTGTAAGCGTCCACCTTCGCGGAGAAGGCCGACCTGGGCCCCACGCCGCTCTCTCCCCGCTCGCCTTTCTCGCCTCTTTCGCCCTGCTCACCTGGGACTCCCGAAGTCCCCACGCGCCCCGGTTGGCCAAGAGGGCCCAGCTTTCCCGGCAGACCTAGGTGGACCACACGGTCCAAACGCACGGTGTGTGCATGTGTATGTGTCACCCCACGGTAGTGTAGCGGTTAGCGCTATGAACTCGGCAGAGACCCGAGTTCGATTCCCGCACATGGTCAACACGAGTGATGATTATCTGAACCGGTCCTGGGACTCATTCCCTCGGTCGACTCATCCTCAAATTATTACCAAGTGTGATGTGTTAACAACGCCACTTTGGAGACAAAGGCGTGCCGGCCTTCATCGGTGCTCACGAACAGCACTTGCGACAACAGTCTGATAAGGCTATATAGAGGATCTTTGATTTTGTGTGTTCATCCCAACAATTGAGTCGTGTCCTGTTACAACCGTCTTTGCTATTTTGCAGGAAAACCTTGCCCGACGTGTCTGTATGGAACATGTGTTTCAGGTCTACACGGTGTACTGAGTGAGTTCTGTTTTCCAGAATATGGGGGTCATGTTCTGGCTATACACGGTGTACCTAATGAGGTATATTTTCCAGAGCATGGGGTGATGTTACAGCTATACACGGTATACCGAGTGAGCTCTAATTTCCAAAACAAGAAGATACATAGAGACCCATGACTAAACTTGGAACTAAACTATTTGTTATTTTACCAGGTGTAAGGTCCACTGAGCTGCTGTGTTGCCATTTTTTTAGAAGTGACCTGCCTGTCGACAATGAAAAGGCTGATATCATCACGTGGCATTTTGTAGCAGCCAAATACTCTAAAGTCTAAACGTTGAAGGGAAAACCAGAGGACCCGAAGAAAAATTTACATGACCACGGAGAGAACATGCAAACGCCGAATTAACATCAGGAATCGTCAGGGTTGTGTTCGAATCGACGACCTCCTGTGTACCAGACGAGGGAGTTAACATCTCCAAGCAACCGCAGTGAAATAAATAGAGCAGTGAGCTCGGTTATTTCCTACCTCGATTATATTGAGTTGCTTGGCCCCTTCTGGTGTCTTTTAACTTCACGTAAAAAATAATAAGAGAAGTGATGAATCGCTCCGTGACACATGCAGCCTGTCGGTGGCTTGACATTAACTACCTCGCTTGGTTTACAGGACGTCGTGTGCTTGATCACAATCCTGACACCTGCTGTTATAATGGAGTTTGCATGCGTCTCTCCCCGTGGTTGCGTGGATTTTTCACCGAATCCTCCGAATTTTCTTCCTTCCATACTTAGAAATTGATTTAGTTGACTAAATGTCCACGTGATGATAAGTCCACTTCGTCGAGCTATCATTACGTGTGGCCAGGTCGCTTCTGAACAAGAGTTACATTTGTCTTGTGGTGTTTATTCACGTGGAAAACTTCGTCATTTTTTCCTGTGTTACTTTATTCGCAGCATCCCACACGGATGCTCCTCACATTCAACAACACGCACTCCGCTAGCCTGCTACTTCGAGCTTACTCTCTCTTGCTCCACTAGCCTGTTACTCCCCGCTCTCCTAGCCTGTCACGGACACTCTATCTGTATACTCTGATAGCTTCTCACCCCTTTAGCCTATCACACTCAGGCTAAAGATTCTGCTCGCCTCTCCTCTGCTAGCGTGTCTTGCCCGTGCCCACCAGCGGGGGCTCAGCCATCACCGCTGGGCAGAACGAGGTGTGGAGGGCAAGGTCCCGAACTTCTCTTGAAAAGTGTTCACTGCTTCATCTCCAACCAACTCAACCCCGTTGCTTCACACGTTCCCCTTTAATCTCCCTCCTCATTAAGTGCCCTCAGATGGGCCTCATTAAGCCGGCGTCCTCTGGCGTCTCTTGAAAGTGTTCTCCGCCTTATCGCCACTGTCTCGCGCCTCCGTAGCGCCTACCCCGCGTTTGAATTTGCAGCCAGCCAATCGCTGCCTCTTTCCTTAATTGCTGGCGTCTCTCTGTCTGCTGTCACCCAGGCCACGCGGCTGCACCTGCTCGTCCTGAGGTGACCTCACTGTTTGCAAGCCCGTACATAAATGCAAATGCTGGTTGCAATCTCTGCGCACGTTATGCCACTACACATAGCTCAGTGAGGATTACTTGGTAATCAAATAAATATATGGAAACAGCTGCTAGGAGCACACGAGTCAGTGTCACAGTCCCACCTGGGTCCCCAGTCAAGCCTCGAGCCCCGACGTCTCCCTTGGCTCCGGGTGCTCCGGTAGTGCCTGCGAGAAGAACAAAGCATGGCTCGTCCACTCCTCAAGCCAACTCTCAATTCACACCACTTGCCTCCACGCACTCTCCTGTCTCTCCCCTCTCATCTCACTCTACTCCACACGAAACACTCTCCTACGAGAATGAGCAAGTGAACGATTGAGCGAATGAGTGAGTGAATGAGTGAGTGAACTATTGAGTGAGTGAACGTGTGAGCGAATGAGTGAGCGAGTGAACGATTGAGTGAACGAGTGAGTGAATGAGTGAGCGAGTGAGCGAGCGAGTGATCCCGTCGCACCACGAGCGCAGCGTGGGGGGTCTCTGGGACCCGACCCCTCACCGTCTCTGCCGTCCCTCCCAGGGGCCCCAGGAGTCCCGTGCTGCCCCGGGGCTCCGGGCTGCCCGGGGATCCCGTTGATGCCCGCGCAGATGGTCCTCTCCTGCTGGGCTCCCACCACCACCACCAGCAGCAGCAGCCACAGCGGCAGGGCCGAGATGGACATCTGGGGGCAGCAGTGGCGAGATGTTAACTAGCTCGCCAGGTATACAGGATGGATTTAAACTACGAACTATCATTTTATCTTACCAAGTAATTTACAAATGAGCTGCTATATAGTCGCTCTTTTTTTCACAAGCGCCCTGACCATCACAAATGAAAGTTCAATGATGTAGGCTTATCATCGTCACGTGAAAATGTACTCGTCTCTGGGCGAGTCTGTGGGTCCTTGTGTGAGTCTGCTCGTCTCTATGTGAGTTTATGGGTCTCTTTCTGAATCTATGGGTCTTTCTGTGAGTCTGTGGGTCTCTGTTTGAGTCTATGGGTCTCTTTGTGAGTCTAAGGTCGTTTTCTGAGTCTATGGGTCTCTGTGTGAGTCTGTGCGACTCTGTTTGAGGAGTTTATCGCCTTTGCGTGAGTCTGTGGGTCTATGTGTAAGTCAACTCGTATTTATGTGAGTCTATGGGTCTCTGTGTGTGGCTTTGAATTTTTGTGTGCGTCTATAGGTCTGTGTGCATCTACGGGTCCCTGTGTGAGTCTTTGGCTGTATGTGTGATGAGTCTAAGGGTCTCCGTGTGAGTCTATGGGGTTCTGTGTCAAGCTATGGATCTCTGTGTGCATCTATGGGTCTGTGTGAGTCTGGGGGTCTATGTGTGAGTTTGTGGGTCTATGTGTGAGTTTTCTCGTCTCTATGTGAGTCTATGGGTCTTTTTTTGAGTCTATGGGTCTGTGTGTGATGATTCTTTGGGTCTGGTGTGATGAGTCTATGGATCTCTGTGTGAGTCTTTATACTTACGGTATGCTGCATTTTCTTTCGGACCACCGTACGAAGCAGCTGAGCGTCCTGCTAATCGGAGGTTGTCGGTGCTCAGCGTTCGTCACCAAGTCACTGGAATCCTCTCCCCCGTCTCCTCTTTTAAACATTACTTGAGTCACGTGGTCCTCCATTTCCAACTTAGTCCAAACCTCCCACGTGTGACGTCACAGTCAACACGCGCGCGCACAAACAAGAAAGACAAAGATCCCCCGTGTAGCCTGTAACAGACTGCCGGGGTCAAGTGGCTGTTAGAGCGAGAAGTAGCAGCGCCTATGAAGGCCGGCACTGTGGCACACGAGGGGGTGGGTGGCCAGCACTACCACGCCCATCCGCCTTCATCTCCCTTAGTGGTGATATTTAGCATTGACGTGCGGTGAGGTCAATGGGTGGGGAGGCACTGGCCAGTATCAAAGCCAGATCTCCAAACTGAGGGGTGGCGTTTCCTCACTGAGGGGGTGTGTCCTCACTGAGGTGGGCGTATCCTCAACGAGGGGGCGTGCCCTCACTGAGGAGGGCGTGTCCTAGTGAGGGGGCGTGTCCTAATTGAGGGGGGCGTGTCTGACACGTCCCCCTCAGTGAGGCAGATGTGATAGCTGCCTCCCCTGGTGCTTTTTCAATGCAGTTTCATGACGAGACCAGCGAGTCTAAATATCTCTATACACATAATACGGGAAATAAGTTACCTGGACTATGGAAGGCGAGGACATGCAATGAAGGGGTCTACAAACATTACATTGGTGACATACTGAGATAGTAACAGGCATGCGCTTATTGCCTGCGCTCCATCCAGTTTCTGAGGGGTTGCGCAATCAGAGGGGAGGCTGAGCTCGTCGCTGCCTCACCTCTCGTCTCTTCCTGCATTTGCAGCAGAGCTCGGCAAAATTGGCGATTTTGACTATGAAAATTATTGGATTCATACAGAAATTATATTTATAACACAGATCAGTGTGGAAATCATACTATTCATTCTATTTAATGATTTTTTTTGTACTTGAAGTAAAGCTATTTCCATTGCAGTATGACAGGTGAGGCTCTGCCTCCCCTGCCTCGCCTTACCGCACGTGACTGCCCCTGTATAGCCTGTAATAGACTGTAGGGGCAAGAGCTGTTCGCGAGCACGTATGAAGGCCGGCATGGCATATGAGGGGGTAGGTGGTCAGCACCACGCCCGGTTGCCTTTGTCTCCCCAGCGGCAATGATTTTTTTCGTCCCGCACAAGCTACTCACTTGAGACTGAGGCGACCTCGCGGAGGCTGCGGGCCAGTTTAGATACTCGAAATCACCGATGTTGGCCGTTATTTGAACTCGGTTCGCCGGGTTCCCAGTATGGCGTAGAGCTAACCGCTACACTACCGCTCCTTATACACTCACTTTGATAGAAACACACTGAGAACACGTGATGGAGTTAGTTTGATCCTGTCCGCTTATTGCATTTCTCGAATTGTGACCAAAACACGCACGCGCGGGCTTGTGTGTGTGATATCTCACCCTCGCCTCTACTGCTACCATCATCACCATCAGCCAGGGACTATCCGCTGCTGGATGAAGGCCTCTGTAATCAGCCGCCGCCACCTCTTTCCATGCTGTGACACGTGTGTATGCACGTTCAACTTCTTTCGCAACATACGTAGTCAACCGTGCTAATCGAAGGTGCGGGGGAAGGAAACTTTCACACACACACACGTGTGCTTGCGCGTGCACAACAACAACCGCCTTTCGCCACTAAGCGGCGGTGACATCACCACCGCGCTTGCGCCAGGCTATGTGCACCTTGAGGCCACGTGAAATTTCGAACTCCTGCTGGCAGGAGGTCACGGGGCAGATCCAGTTGGTGCCATGGGTCGACTAACTGAGATGACTGGCTGATGCACCATCTGTGCCCTTTTATGTGCAAGCTTCTTGTGTTTGAGCCACACAGTGCTCCGCGTGTTGTTGTGAGCATCGCTCCTCTGCCCTCCGTTGTTGCTGGAGTGCAACTGCCTACAACTGCCCAATAGCATTCTTAACAAGCCTCCTCCTTAGATGCCCATCTTGACACCGCTGGTACCAGCCATTGGCAAGTCCACTCAGCTCCGCATCCTCTTGTACCACATGACTCGATCTCTTTTATTACCCTTGCCACGCCGTTTAGCCTCCTCTATCCGGCCGAATAAAAGCTGTTTAGGCATTTGGTGGCTGGGCATGCGGGCTACATGAACCAGCTAATGCAGCCTTGTGTGCCAGAAGAGCTCACCGATAGACTTTTTCCAGATCTTTAAAGTTTTTTGTGAGCTCCACACACAATCCACCCTGTTTAAACCCAGGATGGATCATAGGCAGGTCAGCCTAATGTTTCTAACCTGGCAAGATGTTCCGTAAGGGGAGGTCCACGTTTCGCAAGCGTAAAGAAGGGATGGCATGAGTGGCCGAGCCGATGGGAAGCTTCGTGTGGAGCAACAGACCAGGTAGCTTCCACAAAGCATTACATATCCAATGAAAAGATAATGCCGCTCGACTGATTCAGAGTGAGACATCTGCTGTGAATCCGAAGCTGGTCATGTGCTCACTGCCCACGTATGGGGAACTCTCCACTCTCTCCACAACTGCCCCATCAACAATTGCGAGTTGTGGGGGTGAATTGTCCAATGGCACAAAATAGCCAGGCAGGTGCCTAGTTATGGTGGGGCTGATGGTAAGGCCCCACCTCTTAGTGGCAAGCTCCAGATTGAGCAGCAGCGCCTCCAACTTCTCCTCTGAGTAAGCAGAAATCACCAGATCATCGGAATACATAACATGGTTGACCAATAGGGAGCCATCCCTTGACCTCACGTGGGCATCGATCAGCCTCCCATTGTATCTGTACCAGATAGAAATTCCTCCGGTATGGCCATCATTGGCATCACGAACTACGTGGTAGAAATAGATGTTAAATAATGTTAGAACCAGAGGACATTCCTGTCATACCCCAAGGTGAACAGCGAAAAGCTCCGACTCCTGGCCACGTAGTTTTACTAGGGCCTGCCCACATTCATGAAGACCCTTAATAATTGTGAGCAGAGAGTCACGGACTTCAAAAGCATAGAAGAACAACCCAGAGCCCAGGCCTACTGATAGAATCATAGGCTTGACCAGGTCAATTAAGGAGAGATGTAGGTTTTGTTGGAATTCCCTACACCTCTGTTGTGGCAGACGGACAGAAAATATGGCATATGTGCAGTACCGCCCTTTCCTGAAACCACATTGGGCTCCACAAGCCTCACCTCAGCATGCCTGGCTGATTAATCCTTGCCAGGACCTCTCCCGCAACACTGAAGAGGGAATTGCCCCTGTAGGGCATCCTTCCAATCCTGCAGAACCCGTCTGCTTGTCCAGACTGTTAATATGATGTCATGTAGGTTTTTCTCACAAATGCCACCATCCCTCAGAATTTCGCTTGGGAGATCATCTCTGGCTGGTGCTTTTCTTGTTCTCAGATTTTGGATCACCTTCTGTACTTCCTAAACAGATAGCACCTTAGCCAGCCACTCACAGGAGATGACTTCTTCTATACTCTTTGGTTCTTTCGGTAAAGTTACGTAGGTCGAAATAAAACAAAATAAATAACGACATTTCGATCGCAACACAAGCAATCGTCATCAGGTGAACATCTGATGACTATTGCTCGTGATTTTACCTAAATAACCAAACAGTATGGATTCCTGCAGTCACGAAAGCATCAGATCAAGATGACTACTTCTTCCAATATATGAGGCACGACAGCCTCAGCATGGTCATTCCTATTTTTCCCGATGATGTTTTCCAGGCTGAGGGACTTACCCTCCCCTAAGACCTCACAGAAATGCTCATCAAATCTACAAACCTGTTCCTGGGGGTCGTAGATCATATCACCTTTTTTCCCTGTTGTAAATATTGTGATTAAAAAAATATAACAAATAAAAAATAGGTAAAATAATGAAATAAAAATGTACTATTGGCTCTCTCGTTGTCTCGGGCTATGTTTCACCAATCGTGATAATATCAATGATTCTCGCTTCAACATGTACAATTCTCGCTTTAACGTTAATGGTTCTTCGCTTTAACAATTACCTGTGCAATTGTGTCAGGTCTAGGGATTCAGATCTCACCACAGGATACAGTTCGTTATTAGGACAATGATGCACGAGTTTAGGAAAGAAGCACACAGAAACCTGTTTTTAATCTAGGCAACTTTA